AGTGTAATTATCGATAGGTATTGATTAATTGCTGCCATTATGTTTGTTTTTTTGTGGTGTTACTGCTTCTTTGTTCTGTGTGTCTTCCTTTGTTGAGTTCATGATTTTTGTGTTCTTTCTTGTGAGTTTACTCATAGTTTTAATGTGTCCATGTTCTTCTTGGATTTTCATTCTCTTGGTATGTTGTGAAGTGTTAATTTTCTTTGAGGTTGCCTTACAGTCCATCAACTTTTCTCTCCATTTAGTGCAGTCTATTCTATCCTGTAATCGACCTGACCTTCTCACCATCTAGATCTCTGTTCCCACATGTCCACCCTCCTTTACATTGTACTTGTTTTGATCACAGACTGGCCTCCCAGATTCTCTGTATTTGTTCTTATAGTTTTGTTCTTTTCTCAACTCTTCCTTCTGTTGACTTAATTCTGGGAGGTGCTGCCACGTATGTCAATCTCTGGTAGTTGTTAAAACATAGTTTTTAAAAACCATAAAATCTATCCAATTATGCTATATGAAAATCTATCTAATCATTTCCCTAATATTAAACATTCAGGTTTTATGTGTTAATATTTTAGAATCATAATTACATCACTGTACATTGTTGTTGCAGTTGTTGTTAAGTGCCGTCGAGTCGATTCCGACCCATAGCAACACTATATAGGGTTTCCCAAGAGCAGCTGGTGAGCTTGAACCACCAACCTTGCAGTTTAAATGACTTTGCAGTCTGATGCATTAGCCCACAGTGCCATACCAGGACTCCACTGTACATTAGACTATTAGAAATTCTAATTAATTTCATAAGATGGATTCCTAGAAATATAAATTCAAAGTGGAAGGTATAAAATATTATATAAAGATTCTTTAGGTAATGCCAATATCTACACTCTTAAGACTAGCAGGGATATCAGTCAATTTGCTGTGCTCACCTGATTCTTCACCCAAGAGACTTTATAATCACTGGAAAATTTTTAATGTTATATAATTACAAGACTGTGAGCAAACTAACAGATCAGACCACCTGGTAAATCCTACCCCCACCCTGGCTGTCCTGCTGAGATTTTAGGGGCAAGCCAAGCCTTTCCATCACCACACCCATGGAATACTGGGGGTGGAAATGAGCAGCCACAGCTACAAGCCCGTGTATAACCAGTTCAGAGCCTATGTGTATAACCCTATGAAGAAATAGGGTCTGCTCCTACCAGAGTTGCTGTTGAAGAGAGTGGAGGGATTTCAAGAATTTCATCCACAGGACTCCAGGAAATATCCAAAGTGATTGTAGTTTGTGACACGGAGGTTGTATCATCCAAGGAAGTAGACTTGAAGAGCTCATACTGGGCAAAGCCCCTGGTTGCTACCTGCAAAGAGTGCACCCCGCAGACCACTTAGAGATGCTTCTCCATGGCTAGACAAAGCACTGTACTTTTATGGAAAAATATAACACTAAAAAATAAACAAAACTCTAATTTTTAGCCACAAATATTACCTAAAAATGCATTATTTTTTAAAATGTTTTAATTTTAGTCACTATTTGATATAAACATTTTGATACTAGAGCAAACTATCTAATTATTTTGTTGTTATTGTTGTTAAGTGTCGTCGAGTCGGTTCCGACCCATAGCGACCCTATACAGGGTTTCCGAGGGTGTAAATCCTTACGGGAGTAGAAAGCCTCATCTTTCTCCCGCGGAGCGGCTGGTAGTTTCGAACCGCTGACCTTAAGGTTCGCAGCCCGATTCGTAACCACTACGCTACCAGAGCTCCTCTAATTATTTTAGAAGAGAAAAAATCCTTCAAACTAGAAAGGCAGGTTAACTACAGTTTAGGGGGATCAAGGAAGGGGAGAGTAGAAGAGGAATACTTACAGTAGACAAATGATGTCTTTTCTTGTGTGCATTTTTTAGGTCTTCAAGATGTACAGAATAATGTTTATCAGCTGTAGTATATAAAAAGAAAAAGAAAATTAAAGGTACGATTCAATTGTGCTGTTGTTGTTATTAAGTACCGTCAAGTTGTATAGGGTTTCTGAGAAGCGGCTGGTGAGTGTGAACTGCCTACCCTGTGGTTCACACTGACTTTGCCATCCAGTGCATTATCCCGCAGCACCACACCAAGACTTGCAGTTATACTGTTAGAGAACTAGAAAACTACAATCCCTCAAATCTTGAGGGTATTGTAAGTCAACACTTATGATATGAAATTAAATTTTAATTTCAGTTATGAAATTAAATTTTAAATGGAAGATTAATGAAATGTTTATAAAAGAATAAAACTGGAAGATAGTGCAACCAAAAATATTGACTGTCCATGAGATAGAATTATGTCATCATTACATTCAGTTTTTACTCTGCAATGAGAATTTCAAACACCAGACACATATAAATCAAATGACATTCACACAAAACAGACTTTTGGAGATCTCTTATGGATTATCTCCCACATACTACAAGTTACACACTAGAGTAGATTCCTGGTGGTTAGTGCAAATTCCACTGTGGCACTTCTCTCTTAACAATATCAATTTTCATTAAAAACAACAAAATGGTAAGTATACCAAAAAATGTATATATAAGAACGAAAGAATCATGAGCTCTCACCTTTACAAGTGACCACATACAAGACAACGCCTGTAACGCTGTTGTTAGTTGTGATGAGTTCAGCTCCTAGCCAACAGGTACTTTCAGGATCTGAACTGTCGCATCTTATCCAAAGGGGAGGCAGGGCAGTAACTGGCCGACTAATCTTCAAATGGGTCATATTAGGATTGTGAGCCAGAGTGTAAAGTCCAATTAACTGCCTTGAAAGCATGAGAAAAAAGAATAAAATACAGGCAGAAATTGCTATTAAGCAATTATACAATCAATCAAAAGAGCTTCCTTTCCCAAAGATACCATGAAGGGTCTCACAGAAACAGAAATCTGAGAATTTAAGTGGGCAAGATGCATATAAATATTTCACCCAAAGAGGAAGGAGAAAAGCCCACTAGGTAGATCTGCACACACTAGAAAGTGATAGAGATTGTGACAGACTTGGAGCTACTACAAACCAGATGTTCAATATGGCAGAGACAGGGTTAGGGTGGAAGGGAAAGAAGAGGGAGGACAAGGAAAAGATCTTCCTAATGTAGCGTAGTGGTTAAGAATCTGGCTGCGAACCTTAAGGTCAGCAGTTCGAAACTACCAGCCGCTCCGCGGGAGAAAGATGAGGCTTTCTACTCCCGTAAAGATTTACACCCTCGGAAACCCTGTACAGGGTTGCTATCTGTCGGAACCCACTCGATGGCACGTAACAACAACAACAATATTTATAAGAATGCTTCAACTTTAAATCCTACTCTCCACCCCTACCCTTATGCTAAGAAAAACTTACCTTGCTCTCCCAACTGATAAAGCAAGTGGTCCAGCATTTTCACCAGTAGATAAATCAGAAATAGCTGTTTCTTCAGACTGTGTTTCTTCAATACAACTTGTTTCTTCCTTTTCTAAAGGCTTTAAAAATATTTTGGAATTATTTAATCAGATAAAACAACATGTAAGATAGAAGCCAACTCTTCCCTATGGGAGGGGTAACTATAAACAATACATACTCATTTCTAATTCCTTAAGCACAAATGATTGACTATAGACAGAAATCACAGCCACAAACTAGTGTGGTTTAAACAAAACTTGCCATCAAAAGTATTTCCACTGTCTTATGAAAAGATACTTACCAAAGCTACCACTAGTAAAGGATCTAACATCACTGGAAAAGGAAGAGCTCCAACATGCACAAAGAACAGAGCTAAAGGTAAAACTCAAAAAAATCTACTTCTTGGGCTATGACCTTAGGTCCACAGCCCTTATTTCTTGTATCTACTCCTTTCAGTAATGGGCAATCAAGTCCACTGTACACCAGCTCTCATTTATATCACAGAATTCCTTATCTATATGTTTACAAATAAATAGTTCAGTCTTGCCAAAAACAAAAATGTAATTATAAAAGTTAATCTTTCCTGAGCATTATTATGCACCAGGCACTATTCTAAGTTCTCATATAGTCCTCATAAAAACCTTGAAATACATACTATTATTATCCTTATTGTATAAATGGAAGAACTAAGGTAGCACATGGCTAAATAACAGAATCACACAACTGCTATGTGGCAAAGCCAACACGTGAACCGAGATAATTTGACTTTAAAACTCAAGTTCTTAGCCACTAAACTCTACTGGAAGCAAACGTCTCTGCTAACTAATAAAATATCATACCTAAATATTTCTACAACCGTGATTTTTTTAGATAAATTCTAGATTCCATCCCTTTCCAGGCCTGTCTTTCCAAAGTTCTTAGAACTATGGCTACTCAGGAAATGTTTGGGTTTTTTTTTTCCTCCACTATCCCAACCACCTAAAACGAATTGTTCACACTCTATTGACCTTTGCAAATATGAAGGCCATTTTAATTGCTCCCCATTCAAAAACTGCCAGAGCCTTAGGTCATTCTAGCTAACTCTCATAACACTCCAAGCTAGTCTCCCTTTGTTGTTGTTAAATACCGTGCAGTCGGTTCTGATTCATAGTGACCCTGCACAGGGTTTCCGAGGCTGCAAATCTTAACGGGAGCAGAAACCCTCATCTTTCTCCTGCGGAACAGCTGGTGGTTTCAAACTGTCAATCTTGAGGTTAGCAGCCCGATTTGTAACCACAGTCTCCCTAGTATCCTAAAATTCATGTTTCTACAAATTTTCTATGTTCATCTTTACCTTTTTCTAGGTAATCCATCTTCATCTGTCCATACATTTCCCCTTCTCTAAATTCAACCACATAATTAATTCATCTATAAATTGCCAACCAGCTGCCCACCACAGATAAGCAACCACAACACTCCTTCATCAACATCAAAGATACATACTGCAGCTCCTCCCCTCAGAACGAATGTTCATGTGAGTGTGAATTTTAAATCTTTAGCACTCAGTTTCTTCATCATGGTGCTCACATAGGCCGCACGAGGGCCCGAAGGCAGATGGTGTTCTGTCCAAGGGACCACCACTTTCCCAGATCAGAACTGGCTCCTATCTACTTTAAGATACAATGTAACCAAAGGAGTCCTGGACCTCAAAGCAAATGGAATAAGTAATATTCTTCCAACCTGCAACCCATTAAAAATCACAACTGATCTGCCAAAATAGTTATCATAATTGAAGCAAAAAAGATATGGTTGTAATTATAAAAACAAAAAGAATCAAGCTCACTGCCACCAAGACGATTCTGACTCACAGACCCTAGGGATAGAGCAGAACTACTCCACACCGTTTTGAAGCTGATTATCTTTGTGGGAACAGAAAGACTCATCTTTCTCCCATGGAGCACGAACGAATTTTAGACTCATAGAAAGTTAGGTGCTGGTGGCCAGGAGGCAGGCTTGCAGAATGTGCTCTTTGGTTATTTAATTTATTATATATTCCTGAGTATTTATATGCACATCCCCCAATAAAAAAACAGGGAATAGAAGCAAATCCTGTTGAATGATGATGCACGGAGGAGATTGTGATCACTTCATCGAAACTATGGTGTAAAACTGATGTTCTCCCATGTATCACTCAATTCACAATAAAAACTTTAAAAAACAAAACTGTGCATTTGAGATTACTTCCAATGGATTAAATTTGGTAACTCAAGAATTAAGCAGCCAAAGAAAGCTCAAGTACAACTTACCACTTTTTCCATGATGAATATCACGTCATTTTCATTTAAAATATTCTTCAGAGGGTTTAGTTGACCTGTGCTGATCAACTGCACGTGGACATCAGTCTGTTAAAAATAATGTAACGCAATGTGACATAAACACATATTTTGCACAAATATTTAAATACAAAAAGACCAGTTCCAAGCAGATGACTAGAAAAGAAATTTTAAAGAGACATAATGTTTAATTCTTTGCCAGTTTGTTCCTCAGTTTAGAAAATCCAGCTCTGATAGCTATATTCTATCATGTTTCAAGGCCCATCTAAAGTTCAGCCTGCCTTGTGAAGGCTTCTTTGATTAAGATCACACTGACATAAACTTCCTCTAATCACACTGCATGTCAGTGATCAAACCCACCAGACGCTGAGTCTGAACTGACTTCATGCGCCACAGCAAACAATAACATCAACTTTCTTCTGATTGTACTATGAATGTTAGAACTTTAAATGTCATTGTAAAAACTGTAGATACATATTTCCCATTACAATTGCAATACATGTTCATTGTAGAAAAGTTCGTAAATAAAGGTAACTAAAACTATTTTTTTAAAACCACCTGCAATTCTCCTACCCAGAGATAATCACTAACCCGGTAGGTGCCTATTCTTCCAAACCTTTTTCAGATATATAAATAAATCCATTTAAATAGAAATATATCTATTATTTAGATATATGCTAGTTGGGATTTTAATACCAGAATTTTCTAATAGTTTTATACCATGAACCTCATTCCATGTCACTGAATATCCTTTGTAATACTAAGGCTTTATCATCACAGATTTAATAACATGGAATCCTGGTGTGGCTCTGTGGGATAAATCACTGGACTACAAGATCGGTTTGAGATGCAAGGTCAGTGATTTAAACTCACCAGCCACTCCTTGGAAACCCTTATACAGGGTTGCTATGAGTCGGAACCAACTCAACGGCGCTTAACAACAACAACATTCAATAACACTGAGGACAAGAAAAAGATCCATGGTTGCCAGTGGCTAGAAGCAGGGAGATGTGTTGCCTACAAAGTACACATGAACATTTTTGGAGCAAACAGAAATACTGTATGTGTTGTTCTGGAGGTGGCTACCTGGCTGAACGCAGATGTCAAAACTCAGACAACTGTACTGTTCTTGTTAAGTGCCTTCGAGTCATTTCCAACTCATAGTGACCCTGTATAGGATTTCTGAGGAGCGACTGGTAAGCTTGAACTGTCGACCTTGTGGTTCAAGCTGACTTCACAGTCTAACGCATTAACCCGCAACATCACACCAGGACTCCCAAAGAACTATATGATACCCTAAAAGAGTAAGTTTTACAGCATGGAAATTAACCTCAAGAAGCCTGAGTGTCAGGCTGTGGGATAAAGCACTGGACCACAAGGTCGGTTTCAACCTCAAGGTCAACGGTTTAACTTCACCTGTTGCTCCCTGGAAACACTATATAGGGTCACTATGAGTCGGAACCAATTTGATGGCACTTCACAACAACTTAACATGCCTGACTTTAAAAAATGTATAATGGTAAGATTACTGAGCTATGCTTAAAAGTCAAATAAATTTGTTATATATACCTCATAGATAAATGGGTCTTTGCAGAGTCCTTTCTTTTCTTCATTTAATCCCCTGAAATGCAGAACCACATGTGAAAAAAGAGAACTACAGTATCTGTTCCATTATTTAAATTCAGGCACAAGGAATCACTGTATCTCTGGTAATAGCAAAGGGAAAATCTAAAAACAAAGTACTCTGGTACTGATGGCAACCCCAAAGCATAGCTGGAAAAAGGGTAAAAGGTACATAGAAGTCCTGGAGTGACACTGTAGGATAAGCAATGGACTACTAGGCACAAGGTTGGTAATTCAAATCCCTCAGCCACTCCTTGGAAACCCCATACAAGGTAGCTATGAGTCAGAACTTAACTCGATGGCACTTAACAACAATATATAACTCAGGAATGCTATCCATGTAGTCATTCGACAATCACGTCTTAAGCATGTGTATTACAAGCCAGGTACTCTTGCTAGATGCTGGGGATTTAAAACAAAAGCACAGTCCCTGGTTTAAAGTCTTGACTAGGAGTCCAACATAATAGTCCATCAGTTCAATACAGGGTGACAAGCGTGCCAACAGAGATTAGTACAGGATGCTACTGCAGTGTATGGGAAGGTAAGATTTAATGATAAGGCTTGCCCTTCATTCTAAAAGCCAGAAAACTCACTAAAAGGTTTGAAATGGGAAAGATCTCAATGACAGAAATGTGGAGGGTACGAACTTAGGAGGTCATGCAGTCAGTTGTAAATAGCTTATAGTTCTTCAGAGCAGTGAATAGTTTCCTGAACAAAAACCGCAGGGATGGAGAACAAATAGACCCGGTGAGTGACTAATTGAGGTGCAAGTGGAGTAAAAGAGAAAGAAGCAAGAAATCTTGGACTTGAAACTTATAATTCAGAGCAGGAATTTGGGAGTAAAATGTCAGCCGGAAAGGCGGAATGGATTTAGATCTGTATGTACATAATGAGTTTGAGGTCCCATATAAACATTTCCAGTTTGTAACTGGATACACAGGAATTGTAGAGAGTGCAAGAGACCAAAACTTTCAATGCTTACAAATGTAATTACCCATGTAATAACTGAAAAACAATTTAAGTCTTTATAATTAAATAGTAAAAAGCATCCACAGGGATCTGGTAAACTTAAAAAACAGCCAAAAAATGAAACGTTGTTGTTAAGTGCCTTTGAGTCAGTTACAACTCATAGAGACCCTGTACAGGGTTTCCAAGGAGTGGTTGATGGGTTTGAACCACCAATTTTGCAGTTGGCAGTCCAATGCTAACCTTATAGCACTATGCCAAGATTCCAAATGAGATGTTGTTGTTGTTAAGTGCCATCTAGTCATTTCTGACCCATAATGACCCTGTATAGGGTTTCCGAAGAGCAGCTGGTGAGCTTGAACCGCCGAGCTTGCAGTCCAAATGACTTTGCAGTCTGGCGCACATTAACTCACAGCACTACACCAGGACTCCCCAAATGAGATAGACAGCAAAACACTGAGATACTGAGATAGTAGAACAAAACTCAAAATTATGACAAAGACCAGGTTTACTGATCAGAGAAGAAAGAGACTGGTGGAACCCTGAGACCATGGCCCTCACTCACCCTTCAGGTCTGGAACTGAATTCACCCCATGGCTCCATTTTTCAGCGGAAAAATAGCCAAACTCCAAGGCACTTAACAATAACAAGTACCTAGGAGACAGGCACTCCTTATAATAATCAACCATTTGGGATCAAAAGGACAGCATTTGCCCAAGGACAAAGTTCAGAAGGCAGGGTAAAAGGAAACACAAGAAAGAAGTGGGATAAATGATGTTACACTGTGGGGATTGCAATGTAACATCGGTGGATACATGAAACAAAATGTGTATGAACTGTTCAGTGGAAAACTGATATGCTCTGTAAACTTTCATCTAATTAATTCACAATCAAAACTGAGATGTGTGTTTAGTGCTTCGGTTCTCGTACCTCATGGCATAGTACCTGAGGTCTTAAAAATTGCAAGCAGCTATCCAAGGAGTCCTGGTGTGGTGCTGTAGGATAAGCACTGGACTGTTAACTACAAGGTCAGTGGTTCAAACCCACCAGTTGCTCTCTGGAAACCCTATACAGGGTCTCTATGAGTCAGAATTGACTCGATAGCACTTAACTACAACAAATCCAAGACTAGATAATTGGGTCGCAATTCATCTGGAGCAAGACAAGTAGTAGTACACGCAGAGGATATGCCATGTGGGGCTAATGACCTCCATGAACAAACTGCCTCAGTCATGAGACCAGAACTGGATGGTATCTGGCTACCATTACTGAATATTTTGATCAAAGATTTTATAGAAGAATCCTAACAAAAGGTGGACAATGAAAAACAGGTATTTAAATACTCTTGAATTTTGGATTTTCTGGAATCATGGGGGCTGGATAAACCCCTGAAATTATTGCCCTGAAATAATCCTTAAAACTTAAACCAAATTTTTGATAAAAGAAGCATTCTGTGATGGTTAGAGTATGGCGGGGAGGGAATATGATTCACTGGTTAGAGGGTATTCACATGTTAACATGGGTGACAGGTCAGGCAATATACAAGAGGGACATGGGAAGAGGAAGGATGAAGTTATGGTGAGACACAGGGAGGAACTAAAGAGTTAAAGTGAATAGAGGTAAATACGGTTAACTGATGGCACATGGAAGGGATTGCAATCATTGTAATGAAGCAAAGTACATGATGTGCTGAGTGTAAAACTGATGATCTGCTCTACAGACGTCACTCAATTCACAATAGTTTTTAAAAAAAACCCAAAACAAAAAACTTAGCACAAAAATATGCCCCTTATTAAACCAAACAATATTTCAGCTGTGGTGCTGTAGGATAAGCACTCGACTGTGAACCACAAGGTCAGCAGCTCAAACCCACCAGATGCTCCTTGGAAACCTTGTACAGTCACTATGAGTCAGCAAAGCTGTGATGTCACTGAACTACAATTACAACAATTTAAAAAAAAAAAAAAAAAAGTCTATTTTGAGCATTATAACTCTTAAGAACTATCTATCTGAGATCAAGGAGAGTCCTGCTGTGGCACTATAGGTCAATGTGCTGGAATGCAATGTCGGTTTGAACCGTAAAGTCGGAGGTACAAACTAAGCCGTCAATCCTCAGAAACCCTATACAGGGTCATGGGTCAGCATGGCACTTAACTACAACATCTGAAATCAAAGTGACAAAAGCAACAAGAAAGATTAGTAAAGAACCACCGGGACAGTGAATTAATGTTAATGGATGAGGAACAGCTCAGAAAAAGAGAGAATGGTTGTAAAACTCAAAGAATGTAATTAATGTCATTGAATTGTACATATAGAACAGTTGAATTGGTGTATGTTCACAGTGTATATTAACAACCAAAAACATCAAATTTAAAAAAAGAGGCTCTCATACTAAAAGATATCCAAGACACTGTTAGTTTAAACAAACAAAAACAGTGCTCTTTCTATAATGTTCAGCAATTTCACAAGCATTATTACTTTTGCAAGCAGAAAAAAAAAAGACAAATTATAGCATTTAGAAATGCTTAAATCAGTAGTTTTTCAAAGTCTCAATACCAGCAGTAATCCGTTTCACCTGAATTTGTTAAAAAGGCAGATTCTTTAGCCCCACCCCAGACCAACTAAATCAGAAACCTCAGGATACAGGGCACTCCAATTTTTGTTTTGATAAGTCCACCAGGTGATTCTGATAGATGCTCAAATTGAAGAACCTCTGTATTATTGTAACGGAGCCCTGGCGATAGTGGGTTAAGCCTTGGGATGCTCAATAGGAAAATAGTAAGACTGCTGTTTGCTCCTGTATAGATAGTCTCTGAAACCCTAAAAGAGCTCTGGTAGTGTAGTGGTTACAAGTCGGGCTGCCAACCTCAAGGTCAGCAGTTCGAAACTACTAGCGGGTTCACGGGAGAAAGATGAGACTTTCTGCTCCCGTAAAGATTTGCAGCCTCGGAAACCCTGTGCAGGGTCACTATGAGACGGAACCAACTCCATGGTACTTAACCACAACCACCCTGTCCGGGAGTCCTGGTGTGGTGCTGTGGGTTAATGCGCTGGACAGCAAGGTTGGTTTTAACCACAAAGTCGGCGGTTCAAACTCACCAGCCGCTCCTTGTAAACCCTATGCAGGGTCGCTATGGGTCGGAATCACTCGAAGGTACTTACCAACTACCCTGTCCTACTATTGCTGCGTGACTTACAGCGACCCTGTGTAGGGTTTCCGAGGCTGTAAAGCTTTATGGGAGCTCACCTGCCTACTTGGTCTGCAGTTCGAACCCACCAGCTGCGCTCGGGAGAAAGACGGGGCAATCTGCTTCTGTAAAGATGTGCAGCTCCAGAAACCCTGTCCTACGTTGGAATTGTCGAATGTGAGGCAGTGGGTTTAGACTGAAGTATTTTTACATCGAATGTAGAACTTGATAGAATTCTCTTTGTACTATGTAGCATTCTCTTTATGATTTTGAAGCATAATGAAATAAAGGTGCTTTTTTAAGCCCACACATCATCGCGCTAACGTTACCATTGTAGTGTATGGTAACTGTCCTGAGTAGTCTTAGAAACGTATGTTTCAGTTTAAGGGGTCAACAAGAATTAAACAGGCGAAGGATCTAGTTTTCTATCTTCCGGGAAGTTCCTCACAAGTTGTGAGCATCATCAGAAAGTATAAACCACCTCTTAGAAAACTGGTCACCTTCCATTTCCATTGATAACATAACGATTATTTTCTCCTAAATGAGACGGCAAACAAACTCCTGCAAAATTAACCTCACACCAGTGCGCCTGACAAGACAGCAGCCTAAGGCCAGCCTTGCTTCAACTCCCATACCCCGGGAACCCTGTGGGTTACGTCAAGGCCTCAATCCCCACGTCTGTGGGCAGACGTGTGGAGAAAGGTCCGGGTGCCCAGGAGAAATGCTGTTTTAGAACATCGACCCACAGTAGAGGCTTCGACTCACTGCAGTAGGCGAGCGTACAACTCCTCAGCTGCTTGATTCATTCGCGCCCACATCTTTCCCCAAACTGAACGAAGGTCCTAAACCGACAAACCGAACTGCGCGCCTAAGCCGCCGACGTCCGAGGTCGTAACCTCGCCCCGCCGGAACTACTTTTCCCCCCCCTCGAACAAATTCACTGTGTCCACAAAATTACATTTTTATTTTAGTTCATACAATGACTTTTTCTATTCCAAATAATCTTCCGTTGCTGTCATAAAAAAAAAAAAAGTTAAAATAAAATTGAGTTGCGCGGAAGTCCATTTTATCTCGCGATGTTTGGCCACGCCCCATTTGGATTATTCCGCGGAAAGGAGTCCTTCTTTTCTAAGCACAATTGTTGGCCTCGGAAGGCAATAGACACCATAATTTGATACCTATGAAAATAATACATTGTTTTTAATTTATATAGAGTGCTGTTGATATATTTCTTGTCTCTGGGTTGGTGCTGAGGGTAGCCGGGTGGGGAACCAGATGAGGGTTACATATAGAGCGGGAGTGCTAAGTCCTTCCTTTTCCTGTGGAAGCCGCCGGGTTGAGAGGAGCGTGGCCTTCTCTCCCCGCCATGGTGAGTGGATGTTCTCTGGGCTCGTCTTTCCAACCTGATCCAGGGCCTAACAGGGAAGAACTTAAAATTGAGGGTACAAAATCAGCAGGAGAGGTATCAAAGAGGGAAAGGAGATGATGGCCAAAGACATGTTTCTGACAAGGCTGTGCGTCCACACGGCAGCCATCTTAGAGGCAACGTGGGCTTCCCGGCACAGCACTCTTGGAAACAACACGGGAGGGCAGCCGGTCGTTCTGAAGCGCAAAGAGGCTTCTAAAATTCTAGCATTCCTTGGGCCAGAGAAAACTTTTGAGTTTGGCTGAAAAGGCATTCCATTAGTCCCTTTGGAAGTTACTGGAATCCAGGAACGAATCGGCACAGTTCTGTAGGGAAGAGTTGACTTGGGCCTTGTGATTTAATGTGCTATTTGTAAAGACATTTATTGAGAAAGGGGTTTTTAAAGAGAGATTTGTAGTTTTGCTTTTCTTGTATATTTCTTGGATGGCTGACTCATCTGATTTTTAAATCGCTTAGTATATGTGAGTTCTGTGTGCTAAAGAGTCAACATGAGCAAAGTAGAAGAAAAGGCAACCATCGTTAAGATGTTTGGATGGTAATTAAATTGGGCAAAACCTTAGTTAGAGCTCTGGGATTGGAGAGGAGGCAGCGGTTCCGTTGTAAACACTGCAGTAGTCAGGAAAATACGAGAAGGTGGTCTGAATGTGGTGAAGCTTGTCGGGAGCATCTAGGCTGCAGGCTTGCTGTCTCTGAGGTAGGATGGTCCTGCGAGTAGGAATCCCCCATGTAGCTGAAGATGGTGAGGTGGGATCCTTAGAGATGCTGTAGGCGGCCCACATCTGCTACTGGGAGCTGTTTAAAGGGGTTTGAGCAGAACGTTTTATTCGTATACTCATAAACCATCCTCTGAAATTAGGTGATGACATCAGATTTAAGCTGTCGTTGTGGAATTTAGCAGATTAGACCTGATTCATACATCTTATTAGAGTTTGCAAATACTGTGTTCTGAGAGGCTAATTATTCCTATTAAATACTGTTGTGGACAGATTTATGCTCTGGAATATGTTTATTTTAAAAGATTGGTGCAGTTGTGATTACATTCGACGGTTTCCCTTGCCATGATGTCGTAATTTGCGTCTTACTCTGTTCTCAGCGACAGTTGCCTGCTGTCACTATGCTGGTACAGAAGGTTGACGAAAATTCTTACTGAGCAAGGCATAAACGTTAATTTCTCATCTTTGATAAATGTGTTAATTAACTGGGAAGCGTCCTTCAAGTGGTGAGCAAACATAACCCATTTCATAAAGCTTTGCTCTCCAAACCCTTCCGTAGCTGAGCGCTTGAATCATTGGCCAGTGAGATGAGTGTGCTTCTAATGACATTGCTCCCGTTTTCTTTTTCCTCAAGGCGTGTGCTCGTCCACTGATATCAGTGTACTCTGAAAAGGGAGAATCTTCTGGCAAAAATGTTACTTTGCCTGCTGTGTTCAAGGCTCCCATTCGACCGGATATCGTGAATTTTGTTCACACCAACTTGCGCAAAAACAACAGACAACCCTATGCCGTCAGTGAACTAGCAGGTATGAATGTAGATCTCACTAAGGTTGGTATTTGGGTGTTGCTTTACAGTAATGATGACCTTACACTTCATTGGTCCGTGTTTCTGAACCACATGATTGTTCTGGGTGTTCTGATGCTGCTAGCTACCGTGCACAATAGTGGCTAGATTGGTATAATTGAGTAGCTAAAAGTTGTCTGTCTTTCCCATTGTAGGTCACCAGACTAGTGCTGAGTCTTGGGGTACTGGCAGAGCGGTAGCCAGAATTCCCAGAGTTCGAGGTGGTGGGACTCACCGCTCTGGCCAGGGTGCTTTTGGAAATGTATCCTTTTTTTATGCACCAGACTGCAAAGCCATTTCAACAGCAAGGTCTGCACTTCAAGCTCACCAGTCACTCCTCAGAAACCCTATGCAGGGTCACTGTGGATTGTAACTGACTCGACATAAAGTCACCTGTCGTGTAGAATTCAGTAGACTGAACCTGATGGATATTAATAGAGTACTAAATGTGTCCTTGTGAAATAATGCTCTGGGCAGGTTTGTAATCTGGAAGATGCTTATTTCTGTGGCTATTCTGACAAAGTTTGTTTGCAGTGATGTCGTAATTTGCGTCTTACTCTGTACTCGGCGACAGTTGCCTGCTGTCATTAAGCTGGTACAGAAGATTGACGAAAATTTTTACTGAGCAAGACATAGATAAATTTTTTTTTTTAATTCCTCATATTTGAGAGATGTGATTCTTAACAGAAAATAGATGTGTCGTGGAGGGCGCATGTTTGCACCAACCAAAACCTGGCGTCGCTGGCACCGTAGAGTAAACACGACTCAGAAGCGCTATGCCATCTGCTCTGCCCTGGCTGCTTCCGCCTTACCAGCCCTGGTCATGTCTAAAGGTTTGTGCTGTACTAGGTTTTATATGAGTGAGAAATATTTTTCTCTGAACTGGATGCTTTGGTTCCTTTTAAACATGCCTGAATAAATTCTATCCCAAAGTATGCCTGATAGTGACGGGAATTGGTCTGCACACTGGCAAATCACTTGTTCTGTAGCTTTTCTATGTAGTTATAGCAAGCTCTTCATTTTATTAGTTAACATTATTAGTTATGTGATTATCTGAATTTAACAAATTAGTCATCAGTTACTACAGACTACAAAATGGAAATTAAAGTTAGTAGTTCTATTTGAAAACTTTCTGCCTAAAGTTAAGTTTCTCACCCCACACGTACTAACTGCTAAAATGATGAGATTCCACTTCATTGGTCCGTGTTTCTGAAACACATGATATTTGTGGAAGTTCTGATTTCGCAAACTACAAATAGCCTGTGTAGAGATGACGTAATTTTTCAAAAGGTTCATGTTGACCCATGTTCAATTGGCTTTGTCAGGTCATCGTATTGAGGAAGTTCCTGAACTTCCTTTGGTTGTTGAAGATAAAGTTGAAGCTTACAAGAAGACCAAGGAGGCAGTTTTACTGCTTAAGAAACTTAAGGCCTGGAATGATATCAAAAAGGTCTATGCTTCTCAGCGATTTAGAGCTGGTAAGGGCAAAATGAGGAATCGCCGGCGTATCCAGCGCAGGGGACCATGCATTATCTACAATGAGGACAATGGTATCATCAAGGCCTTCAGAAACATCCCTGGTAATTTTTGAACTGCTCATCCATTCTATACAGTTTTGGTCAACTTTTGTTATGATGAGATTCCACTTTATGGTCCGTGTTTCTGAAACACATGATAATTGTGGAAGTTCTGATTCTTGTTGGATGAATGTGTCATTGGATGGTTGGCTTTTCAAAGATAGATGGCAGTTTAACTGCTAATTGGATGATTCTTGAATATCATGTTTCTTCTGTTGAAATAGTCTCCTAATTCTCCTTTCCCTTTAAAAAGGAATTACTCTGCTTAATGTAAGCAAGCTGAACATTTTAAAACTTGCTCCTGGTGGGCATGTGGGCCGTTTCTGCATTTGGACTGAAGGTGCTTTTCGAAAGTTGGATGAGTTGTATGGCACTTGGCGTAAAGCTGCTTCCCTCAAGAGTAACTACAAGTAAGTTGTACATGGTGTTCTGAACAGAGATGTTTACATTCAGAATTGTCTTCAATATTATCTTTAAATCTTCTGATGAAAGTCACGTTCTTTAGATGAATGCATGACAAGTAAGAATTGTGCATCAGTTTGTGAACTTTTGTCCTTCAGCCTTCCCATGCACAAGATGATCAATACAGACTTAAGCAGAATCTTGAAAAGCCCTGAGATCCAAAGAGCTCTCCGAGCACCACGGTAAAGTTAACAATATAATCCTTGTGTGTTCCTACCACCCCAACCATACAATGATTTGCCAGATTTGGAATCTTATTCCCATTGCAATACAAATGGTAATGTTAGTATGTTGTCTACCTTTCACAGCAAGAAGATTCATCGCAGAGTCCTTAAGAAGAACCCACTGAAAAACCTGAGAATCATGTTGAAGCTGAATCCATATGCAAAGACCATGCGCCGAAACACTATTCTTCGCCAGGCCAAGAATGTAAGTTGTTTTAGTACGGGTTTGTCAAATTTTTAGAAAACTTTGATACATGATGATATTCCACTTTTTTCTTTTTTTTCTTTTTTTCTTCCTAATTTTTTACAGCACAAACTCAGGGTGGCTAAGGCGGCAGCAGCCCTAAAAGCAAAATCAAATGCGAAGGAAGTTCCAGGCAAGAAACCACCTGTGGTAGGGAAGAAAGGAGGGAAGCAGACTGTTGGTGTGAAAAAGCCGGTGGTGGGAAAGAAGGCTGCAGCAAGCAAGAAACCAGCAGCTGAGAAGAAGAAACCAGCAGAAAAGAAGCCTCCCACAGAAGAAAAGAAGCCTGCTGCATAAATTCTCCACATTTGTTTAGCCCAAACAAGTCAAATAATTTTGGACAGCGTATTTTGAATAAAGACAGACCTGGTCAAAGAGGCAGTAAGAATTAACTGTTGGGTGTGTTGTGAATCTTGGATTCCTTTTTTGATTTCTTGGTTCTTCATCTTCTAGTCCAGTGTAAAGTAGAGATTGGTTTTCTAGTAAATCTTGTACAAGAAGGGGTGTCAAATGTTAATAGTTACATCCTTCCTCTGGGTAAGGGGGGAGGGGATAGAAAATAGGTAAGATTCCAAAAGGATTTGACATTGTAACGATAAGAGGGCAGAACTGTAGGATAAATTTGAGGAACTGAAATAAGGAGCTTCCTTTTAACAACACTTGTTGGGGATTAATACTGCTGCTGCCTCCTGCCTAGCCCGTTGGAGTAGTTTGTGTGCTAGCAGCTTTTTTGGTTATAAGATCTTAAACAGTTTTAGTAAGGGATGAGTACATTCACTGTAGCTTTAGTTTTTTCCAAAAGATTTAAAGAGTTTACGGTGGTGCTGTAGGGTAAGCACTGGACTGCAAGGTCATAACACCCACCACCTTCCACAGAAGATAGATGGGGCTCTCTACTGCTATAAAGATTTACAGGTTTGGAAATCTTATACAGGGTAGCTATGACTTACAAATCAATGTGATTACGCTAGTTTGGTTACCTGCTTTATAAGAAAACTTGTGGTGGGTGAGAGGGTACTAATAGCAGGATTGGCAATTAAATTAGTCTGGTAAAGACTCACTGTCCAGGAAACCCCTGGAGCAGTTTCGTATAGGGTCACCATTGAATCTACCAGTGTTTTTCCTGTGGGGCTCTTATTCTGGAGTGTTAGCTATTAAGTGCTTTGCAGGTGGCACTGTGGGTTAATGCACTCAACTGCCAGGTCAGTGGTTCAAGCTCACCAGCTACTCCTCAATCCATAATACAGGGTGCCTGAGTCAACCAATTCAACAGCACAAGTATTTATGCTGCTGTGGGATAAAGTACTGGACTGAAAAGTCTATTTGGACCACAAGGAATGTTGGTTGGTCAAACTCTCCAGTAACTTTTTGGATACCATATATACAGGGTCACTGAGTCAGAAATTACTTGACAGCACTTAACAGTTGTCATCTGGTACCGACATGGTGAACCCATATGTGTCAGAACTGAGCTCAGTGTTTTGGACATGGCCATTTGAGCTCTGGTAGCATAGTGGTTACGAATCGGGCTGTGAACCACAAGGTCAGCAGTTCGAAACTACCAGCTGTTCTGTGAGAGAAAGATGAGCCTCAGGTTGCTATGAGTCGGAACCGACTCCACGGCACATAACAGCGTACTGCTAATTTCATGGTCAGCAGTTCGAAACTACTAGCTGTTCCATGAGAGAAAGACGAGGCTCTCTGTTCCCATAAAGATTACAGCCTCGGAAACCCTGTACAGGGTCGCTATGAGCTGGTACTGACTCCATGGCACATAACACTGCAGTTGGAGCCCACCAGCTGTTCAGGCTTTACTCCATATTTAGTGTTTCTGAAGAGTAGAAACACTAAATTTGAATGACTGACTTTACGGTTAAAAGCACCACACCACGCCCCCTGGTGGCCAAACTTCGTATCTCATACTTCTGACATAGGAGACCAGTCTCTGGAGCAGGATATTATGTTTGGTAAGGAGCTCTGGTAGCGTAGTGGTTACGAATCGGGCTGCGAACCTTAAGGTCAGCGGTTCGGAACTACCAGCTGCTCTGCGGGAGAAAGATGAGGCTTTCTACTCCCGTAAGGATTTACACCCTCGGAAACCCTGTACAGGGTCGCTATGGGTCGGAACCGACTCGACGGCACTTAACAACAAGGTGGAGGGTCAGAAAAATAGAGGAAGACACCAGCAATTTGGATTGGCAAAGTGGCTGCATCAGTGGGCTCAAGCGTGGCAACAATGGTGAGGTTAGCCGAAGACCAGTAGGTGTTTCATTCTGTTGTATACTGGGTCGTTAAGAGTCAATGACACCCAACAACCGACTCAGCGACTCTGTATAAAGGTTTCCCAGGAGTGTTGAGTTTGATCCGCCCATCTTGTTCAAAACCCACCATGCGGTCCTGTGTTTATCAGACACCGCCACACCAGCACCCCTGGCCATCCCCTGCCAAGGTGACCTACCCTTTTTACAGAATCAACTTGGCAACTATATGGGCAGCTTTTCCCACTGATTACAATACTAAAGAGCTCTGGTAGCGTAGTGGTTACGATTTGGGCTGCTAACCTCAAGGTCAGCAGTTCGAAACTACCAGCAGCTCCGCGGGAGGAAGAGGCTTTCTGCTCCCGTAAAGATTTACAGCCTCGGAAGCCATGTACAGGGTCGCTATGGGTCGGAAACGACTCGAAGGCACTTAACTACAATACTGATATTGTAAATAACACTATCTTCAAGCATTTTAACACAAGGATCAAGAATCCTCTTCCAAGCAGAATTTATTAAATCTTAAAATCATGGTTCATGTTATTTTGGTCACTGTTTTCAAATTATCTGCAGATTGGTGAGTTAAATGGCTAATTTTTGGAACACAGTGCAAGACACCAATTACTGTTCGTTAAGCCATTAGGAACTTACTTGATCAAAAACTATCAGGTTAATTAACCCAAGCACAGATTATCTCCAGGTTCTTTACTGCTCCAAAGTCCTGTACTTTAAGTCTCGAACATTTTTCAAGAGCGTCCTGTTTCAACAGCTTGAAACGTAGTCGGAGAAACTCCTGCTGGAGCTGAGAGGATGAGGGCGGAAACCGGAAACGCACTCGCGGCTCTTCCCCAAGTTGGCTGCTCTCCCAGCCCTGCTGTTTGGTTTCCGGGAATGCGTAGATGGCGTCATCACCGAGCGCCCGGCCGACGGGCTGCAAGGAGGATAACGAACGTGAGGAGCGACCATGCTGAGCCGGCTTCAGGAGCTTCGCAAGGAGGAGGAGACGCTGCTTCGGCTAAAGGCGGCTCTGCACGACCAGCTCAATCGACTTAAGGTGACTCCGCCTGTAGGACCATCTGCCACGTCCCCCGAGTTCGGCTCCCGCCGCTACTGGCTCCCAGAATCCCTCTTGTCTGGTTCTACGAGAACCCCAGACTTCTGTAGCGCCCACCAGGATTTCCCACCCAAGCCCCTGGGTGGATCTCGACTGTTGCTGCTCACCCTCCCCTCGTCTGGCGGTCGTTATGTCAGTCTATTGTTAGTGCTATCGAGTCGGTTCCGACTCATAGCGACCCAGTAGTTTTCCAGGAGCGGCTTTGGGTTTGAATCGCTGACCTTGCGGTCAGCAGTCCAGTGCTTGTCCTATAGTGTCACACCAGGGCCCGCTGCCAGTGTTCTTCTTAGTGCTAGAGTCGGTTCCGACTCATAGCGACACCGTTTAGGGTTTCCGATGACGACGAACTTGGCAGTCCAGTGCGTATCCGACAGCGCGACACCAGGACTCCTGGTTCTGATCTACCGGGTTACCAATATGTGACTCCAAAGCATTTAGGGATCTAGTTGGAAGATCTTTGTGCTGCACTCCTCAGAGCCTTGACCTTTCAGGTCTCAGATAGTCCCTGGACATTTACTGAGGTTCTGGGAGGAGACTTAGAGTTCCTAGTCACTTTTCCTACTAGAGGTGTTGCTGACTTACAAGGCCTTTACGAGGAGTCATGATTGTAATTTCACAGAGGCCAGTTCTGTTGTTTAGTGCCTTACAGTCGGTTCCGATTCTGGTTCTGACTCATAGCAACCCTGTATAGGGTTTGCAAGGAGCGACTGGCGAATTTGAACCGCTGACCATGCAGTTCAAACTGACCTTTCTGTCCAGGGCATTATTCCACAGCACCACACCAGGACTCCTCCCAGACCTGTGCTTCTGCATAATTCAGCCCACAAGGTGCTCAGCACCCTCATTTGGGATCTTGGTATAGGGATCTCTTGTCATTCATTGCCCATCGAGTCAGTTCCAATTCATAGTGACCATTATAGGGTAGCAGGAACAGACTTCTTTCTCTCGCAGAACTGCTAGTGGGCTGGCTTCAACTACTGAACCACTGACCTTGAAGTTCTTAGTCATCTGCTTATCATTCCCAGATATTAGCACTGGGAAAACCCTTCATAAACAAGTGTTGTACAACTTTCAGGCATCAAAGGAAGTAGTTTTCCTTCAAAGCAGTTATGATGGCTCATGCTTGCTTATGCCCTTATCTCTATCTCCATTAGGTGCCTGTTATTGTAGTTAAGTGCCTTCAAGTTGGTTCTCATTCATAGCAACTCCAAGGAGTGGCTATAATGTGTGTTGAACTCAAGTCACAGATGCCCTTTCTGGAAATACGGATCACAAGCCGTGGCTCAGCAGGAATACCTGTGCACCCTAGAAGACAGGCTGGAACCTTGCTTTATCCACTTCCTTAAAAGGCAACCAGGAAAGCTTAAGAGCTCCCAACTCTTGTCTCTAGAGCAGCATGGATACTGAAACTGTTTTACTTCCTCTCACGATGCCAACCTTTTACATCCTGTACAGTAATTTTTACCCACTTCTGTAGTGTGAAAGACTAAGGAAGTGCCCTAAACTCTTTTTTTTCTAGGTTGAAGAGTTGGCCCTTCAATCAATGATTAATTCTAGAGGAGATGAGATGATGTCTTCTCAGTCTGTACCAGAACAGCCACAAGAAGTAAGTTTCAGTATGGTTCTAGGAATGGCCTTTGTGAAATGTGGATATGAATTACATTTCTTTTTTAGTAAGCTGTTAACAGCCCAGTATTATATACTGATTTCTTTATTAACTATTAATATATTGCTTCTGCCCTCCTATTCATCCATCCTCTGTAGCTACTCAGGGAGGAAAAGTCTAGAATTCTTTAGAGAGAGATATCAAAACTCTTCCTGGTTTGAAGATGATAATGTATGTAACCTTTGGACTAGAAAATAAGGGTGTGGCTTCAACAAAATGCTAAAAAATAAGCTCTAATCTTCATTGTAGCCCTTTCATCAGATGCCCTTAAGTAAGTCAGTGAAGTCCTATTCTTTCTAAATAAACCACATCTGAAAGATTCTCCCAGATGTTGTTGGTTAAACCATTAGAAAGCAGCACATCTCAATCTGCAGTTCTCATGTTGGCACTTTGTAGAGAAGCCTGTTTTTAAATCAGGTGCCCTTCTGTCAAATCTGGCTCATTCATATATGTACACTGCCACAGTCTGGGCAGCAAGGTAGAGGGGATGTGGAGAAATAAGAACGTGACCATACATGTTGGGCCCAATTCTTAAGAGTCATAAATAACTGAGGATGGAGATGCAATTTTATTTTAAGAATTTGCTACTTTGAGTCCAGTGTGTTTCCTACTAATCCACCCTGTCCTTGACTAAAGCAGATGTTGGTGCATGTAGACAATGAAGCATCCATCAACCAAACTTCACTGGAGTTGAGCACAAGGAGCCATGCTCTGGAAGAGGAGGAGGAAGAGGAAGAAGAGTCTGATTCCTGAAGAGGGAAAGAGCCAGGGCTGGTTAGTTAAACAAATTTAATTCTAAGTCTCAGAACCTTCTCTGTAAAGGAATCTCTCTGGCACGGGCCTTATGATTTGCTTGGAAGGAAAGCAAGAACTATGAAGAATGTGCTGTTGTTAAAACAGCTCTCCATCAGTAACCTCAAGCTTCAGGGCATTTTAACAAAACTTGGTGAAATGTAGAAAAATCAAAGATTTGCCATGTCTTAGCAAAAAGTAATGTGAGCAGTGCTGTGTCTGATTTTGTCAGGTTCAGTAACTATGTTCAAAACAGACAAAACTTCTTCTGAAACACTATGGGAAAAGCCTGGCATTTGCAAAAAGCAGAGCTTAAATATAACCCAAAGCCAGCCTTTCCAATCAACAATAGTTGTTTTAAGTAGGGCTTCCAAAGTTCCACCTGCTGAAAATTTGTCTACATAAGAATCACTTGCTGATCTTGCTGAAATATATATTCAAATTCAATATATCTGGATTAGAAAGTCAAATTCTTGCCAAGGTTCGAGCCAGAATGAACCCGCTCAAAGCCTGCTTCTCAGAGAACTGGCTGTTACAGGCTGTCAGGCTGTTGAACCCTGTGAGCACAACAAGGAAAGAACAAGGTGAAGGAGGGCAGAGGACAGGACATGGCTTGAGGGCACAAACTGTTGCCGCCCTGCTCAGTAGCATCACAACACAGTGCCCACTAGACTGCTCTGTGTGTGGTTGTCGGAACTCAAAATTTGCCTCCAAATCTGGAGGGTGCCCTGAGACTAAAGAAAGCAGCCGCACCTCCAGGATTTTGGTACAGGGGTTTACTGGGGAAACTTACACATGAGATCCCATGTTTCTGTATCCGTTAATGAGAAGCAAGGGTTTTTATGGTTATGTTGAATCAAAATGACTTCATGCAAGATTCAGGCTTACAAAGCCGTCCCTTCAGAGTTGCAGGAGAGTAACTTTCCAAGAAGCAGCAGAAAGCAAAGGGTGACCATACTCCGCCTCACAAAGTCACCTTCCCCTTCCTTCACTGGTGAAATAAGCTTAGAATTAACTATGGCTAGCTGGTTTCCAGGTACCAACAGGGAAAAGGATTAGTTCCTCCTTTGGTGAAAACAATACAGTGGATTGTTTAAAACCCATTTCTGGTCTTAAGAGGAAGTGTGCCATTAATGACAAATGACTTGATTTAAATTTTATAATGAGGTGACTGCTACAGGGTTGAGTTGTTGGAACTTAGTGCTTGAAGTTAAGATTCATTTCTGCAGAATGCCCCTTTTTGCACTGAATATATGAACGGGCTTCCAAACATTTCTGGGAAAATTCCTTCTTCCCACAAAACTGAAGCTCCTTGTACAGTTAGTAGTCACTGCATTTTATATAATTAGACCTGCCCAGTGACAGCAAAGCAAAACAAAACCAAAAAAATCCCAAGTAGAACTTTTATGTTCCAGAAGAGAATATGATGGCCACATTTTGTTAACTGGGTTCCTTAATGTTATTTTGAGCTACTCTGCAGGAAATAGCCAGAAGTGTAAATGAGCATGTTTCTTGGAAAACACAATGTGAACTGTCTTTAGAATAAAACATATCAAAAGTACATGCTTTTGGGGTCTAATTTAAAGTTATGAGCATGAATTTGTATGAGCTGATAAACTTGTTTTTGGATTGTAGCTCTACCACGAACTAATCACTTGTTCTCTCACCTACAAATCTCACTCTCTTCCCATTTGTGCAAAGAGGATATAGTCACAGCTGCTCTAGTCATTTCAAAGGTGGTTTATAAGCTGCTAATGAGATATTTAAGGAGCCCTGGTGGCTGTGTGGCTTAGGATTGGGCTGCTAACTGCCAGGATCTACAATTTGAACCTTCAAACCCAAAAAGACCCAATAGCCAGTCCATGGGAGGAAGATGTGGCAGTCTGCTTCCCTGAAGATTCAGCCTTGGAAACTCTGGGGAGCAGTTCTGTCTTATGGGGCTGATGAGTCAAAATGGACTGAGAACAGTGGATTTGATTTGGGTAGTGCAGATGGCTAAATGCTCATCTTCTAAACGAAAAGCTGGTGGTTTGAATCTGCCCAGTGTCTCCGCAGAACAACGATCTGTTTCCATAAAGATTACAGCCTTGAAAACCCTATGGGTCGGTTCTGCTTTGTCTATTGGGTCATGAGCTAGAGAGGACTAGACAGCACCCAGCTATGTTGTTGTTGTTGTTGTTAAGTGCTGTCGAGTCGGTTCCGACCCATAGCGACCCTGTACAGGGTTCCCGAGGGTGTAAATCTTTATGGGAGTAGAAAGCCTCATCTTTCTCCCGCGGAGCGGCTGGTAGTTTTGAACCGCTGACCTTAAGGTTCGCAGGCCGATTCGTAACCACTATGTTACCAGAGCTCCCAGCTATGAGATGATTAAAAATCTAACTACATATTGGTGTCTGAGTACGGGAAATATGAGGAAGGAACCTGGCACAAGGGACTCAAAACACACACTGCAAGACTGCTGCAGGCAGGGAAGCTCATTCTTGAGAACAAGATCATTTTTGATAAAAATCACTGGGAAAACATTCTTTGACTGCAAATGCAATACCTTTGAGTGTTCAGAATTTAAAACATCCCTCCCTTATATGGCACCAAACAGGAAAGCACGTGGATCCAGATTTTAGACTCTAGTGACACCATTCTTCCTGCTGTGGGTACAGCTTGCTCCTTCTAATGAGACATTCTCTGTTGTGAAAAGACACAGGGTTTGACGAGATTGTGGGTTTTAGACCTCAGTTTCTGTGTTGAAGACTGTGGCTTCAACAATGTATACAACACCAGTTTTTTCAATCATTGCTCTAGCCCAAGGTCTGGTAGATATCAGACTGAAGCTACCTGATTAGGAGATTATTTTCTCAAGTTGTTTTCAATCTGCAATAGGCCTTTTTGTATGGAGCTGTAGGATCAGCACTGGACTGTGAACCACAAAATCAGCAGTTCAAACCCACCAGATGCTCCTCGGAAACCTGATACAGGGTCACTGCGAGTCAGAACCAACTCGCCGGCACTTAACAATAACCTTGGCTCTCAGAGTCCTGGTGTGGTGCTGCAGGATAATGTGCTGGATCGCAAGGTCTGTGGTTCAAACCCACCAGCAGCGCCTCGGAAACCCTACACAGGGTTGCTATGAGTGTGAACTGACTCAATGGCACTTAACAACAACCTTGGCTTTGGTTCTTTATCACCTGTACTTTCAAAGGAGAAAGTGAGGCAATAGTTACTGACTACATGGCCTCACATGCACCTAGTACCAAAAGTCACTTAGAAGAAAAGGGCAGACATGACCCACTGTGACATGGCTTGGTTTCTCCTGACTTCGCTGCCAACCTCACAGGCACATTCCTCTCTCCAGGAAGGTATGGCCAGTATACCTGGAGAAAGGGTCAGATGACTGACCGAGGGCAGTAGCCCCAGCTTCCAGCCAGCCCACCAGTAAGGCATCCCTGTGAGCTGGGGTCCTGGAGCTGGCCTGGCTCGCCTCTATACAGAAGGGAGAAGTGTGACTTTTTACAGATTTGTTCCCATCCACACTCTAAGCTGCCACTGTTCACTTTCACAAAAGGTGGAAAGGGAATGAGTTGGGCGATTCACAGAGAGGGTGTTTGGTTGGAAGACTTGGACACAATTTCACTTTGAGATTTGTAGACTGGAATCACAGGAAGCCGTGTGAGTCCACAGCACTGAACTTGCCTTGGTGAGGTATTTCCGCCTTCCAACCAGCCCCCTTTCCTGTCTTCACCTTTCCTTCACTATGTTGTTCAATGCTGCTGAGTGGTCTTGACCCATACCCTGTATGGGGTTCCCAAGTAGTGACTGATGAGGCACCAACCTTATGGTCCAGTGCTTATCCTACAGCGCCACACCAGGACTCCATTGTTGTGTTAAGCACTGTCCAGTCAGTTCCAACTCAGTAGCCCTGTATAGGGTTTCCAAGGCTTTAAATCTTCATGGAAGCCAAAGCCTCATCACACAGAGCGGCTGGTGGGCTCGAACCACAGACCTTGTAGTTTGCAGTCCAGTGCTTATCGTATGCAGCCACCATGCTCACGGACTGGAGAAACAGAATCTCAGCACAAAAATAGAAAAGGCTTTTCTCCTTTTTTTTTTTTTTAATACTTGAGAGTATATTTATTAGAATAAGAGATTAGATTTGTTAAACATCTGGATTAAAATGGTTAAAAGGATTTTCATATAATTTTTAGGCACTATACACACTTGTTTTACAATAGCATCAGTACTTAGATTCCAGGAAAGAAATCTGACACATTTTAATGCCTTGATCCATTTGTAACAAACTAACTCCACTAAACTTAATCAAACAGTAATCCAAACTTAAAGAGACATACACCGCTAAGTAACCCCTCACAGTATATTTAAAAATAAATCTAGAAATGCAACCAGAAGTCTACAAGCCATCCTGGTACACAGGCTGGTAAAGCCCTGGCTGTCATGGCAGTGATGGGCTCTGTCTGGATTTTTGATTGGAAAGTGTTGGAATTCTACATCAAAAGCAAATGAGAACGCTAAAGTAACATGACGTACACTTGGTGATGCTGATGTTCATAGCAGCAAAGCACGCCTCACATGCAACGCCTGTGAAGAGGCTCACGGGCTCCCCCTGCTCTGATGGAGAGGAGATACGCCCAGCAGAATGAAGTACCATGAGGAGTTGGAATCCTGAAAGCACAGGCGGCCAGCCAGTCACGTGGTGGGAAGAGCAGCACAGCTTTCAGTACGAATGAATACCACGGTCACCAAGGCTTTACACGTTTTGATCATCACACACACATACACGGATGCCCCAAGCACACAGCCAATCCACTTAGGGGAATAATAATAGTAAGAACAAAGGCAGTCATCAGGAAAATAACACAAGTAGAATTTTGGCACATGCTGTTCTTCATCTTGTCACAGGTGACACACACGTCTGAATGGAGACAGGCACGGGAACAAGGCCCCAAAGCAACGTGGCACGCCGGCGGAGGTGTGTGGGGGTGTGTGGGGGCTTCTCTGCGGCTTCAACAAAGCTTAGACGCCAGCTGAGTGGGTGGGTGTGCTAGGCTGATGAAGGCCAATGGTGGAGCAGAGCCAACCTGCAAAATCCACTTCTTCAGCGTCCGATCTCTTGATAAAAGCATGAACCTAGATGCAAGCAAATGAGAAAGAGGAAATAGTCAAAATGACACGAGCAAGGAGGAAAATCCAGGAGTCAGAAGGAACTCCTGGAGCAGTAGTGGGGGCTGGGAAAGCAGGGCCAAGAGCCGGGCACCGCCACTCACACGGTTGAGGCCTTGGGTACATCACTGACCTCTCTGCCATACACCTCACAGTGGTGTCACAGGGCACGGAGATAACAATGGGCTTGAAATTGAACGTTACATGCAAACATGAGGAGGCAAGTAGAAAGTGACCCCGGAGGGGCTGGCAGTGGGAGTGTAAGAATTGGCGGGCCGTTCTAGAAAAAGGCCCAGTCTCTGCGAAGAGGGGTCGGTTGGCCTTTCCATCAGCTGTCACACTCACCCCGGCTGCAGTCATTCCAGCCTGCCTTTTAAATTGTGGGGAGGCAGAGGAGGCTGGCACTTGGTATGTCATAGTCAGGGAAGAGCAAGGAATGGGGCTCAGAAAGTACTGGATGGATGGTGGAAAGAAAGGGAAACAAATACATACACGTGCTGTATCTGAAATCAGTGGACTTACCATGAGCTGCTTCAAATCTGCTCTCTCTGCAGGATTTTTTATTAGGCTTAAAGGAAGAGAGAACATGTGAGAGCTGCTGCCTGGAATGGGTTTTCATCCTAACTGGCATGCCCACCCTCCCCAACACTGGGCCCTGTGACAAGTGCTTGAGCCTTGTTCATCTCCTGCTCCTAGTGTGTGCCATGCCCACTGTAGGTTAATACGCTATTGCGGAATTCAATTAGGGTCAAAGGCAACACACCCATCCCTCTGGAGAGTGTGTCCAAACCAGCAACTATTCCATCCACTGCTGTGCATACTAACATCAGCTCTGTCACATAAGACCCGGTACTCTGGAAGAAGAGTCTACGGCACGGGTAGGGAACCTTTTTTCTGCTAAAACTTATAACTTCATTCATGGGCCATACAAAATTATCAACTTAAAAATCAGCCTACTACAGATGGTCAAACATTTCCTTAACTCACCCCCAATATGATGGCTGGAGCTGTGGTTGTCTTGGCAGGGGCAGACCAAATGATTTCTCAGGCCTTCAGGCCGGACATTCCCCACCCCTGGTCTAGGACAACAGCCGAGGGGATGCCAGAAGGGAAGGACAGGGCAAAGCTGTGTCCAGAAGCAAAGTGGGAGCCCCCAGAGATGGGGTGAGAACCTAACGAAGCCACCCTGCCCTTCCAGAGAACAAGAAGCTGCTTACCATTTATTCACAAAATCTTGAAATTCCAGACTGAACACTCCACTGGGAAGCTTTGGAGGAGGCTGCAAACACGTCAAGACATGAGAAATGCCTCTGCTTTGGTCCCCGCTCTGGCCACCTTCTTTCCTCCCCACATCCTCACCCCCCTGTGGGCAAAGCTACCCTCATCCAGCCACCTGCCCAGTCACCTTGTTGGACCCACTGGTCTCATGTGCCATAGTTGTTAAGTGCCGTGGAGTCAGTTCCAACCCATAAAGATCCTGTATAGGGTTTCCAAGGAACAGCTAGTAGCTTGCACTACTGACCTTGTGGGTGGCAGTCCAGTGCTGGTCCTACTACCCACCCCAAGAGCCCATAGTCAGAACTGGGTGATAGTCAGTGGTATACCACTTGTTGAGGGATTTTGAACAAACCACTGTGCCTCTCTGAGCCTCAAGTTACTTCTGTGAAACGAAGAGTTGGATCATATAATCTCTGGGACCCTTTCCACTTCTGACTCTACAGTTCTAAATCTTGGGAGGATGTCACAAAAACATAACCGGAAATTACTAGCAACAGGTAGGAAATACGCAAGCCACCAGGCACCTGTGGAAGTCACAGAAGGCTGAAACAAAAGCCTGTTCTGAATGGACTCCTGGTGTGGTGCTGTGGGCTAATGCGTCAGACTGCAAAGTCGTTTGAACCCCAAGAGCTATGGTTCAAGCTCACCACCTACACCTTGGAAACCCTATACAGGGTCTCTATGGGTCAGAATCGACTCGATGGCACTTTTAACAAAAACAAGAAAAGCTAATGAAACATTAACTGGCAGAGGGCTGGGTCTAGAAGAGTATTACTGATCCACTCTGGGAATGGGGCAGTTTTTAGGCAACAAACCAAGATCATAAGCAACGGGTCTTTTTCACTTCAGCAGTTAATTAAATCAGAAAGGACCACATGCCTACGTTATAGACCTTGTGTTGTGGCTGCTTGAGAAGAGCCCAGGAGGTCACTCCTCTAATGCATCAACAAGCGATTCGTGAGGTCAAAGAAAACACTAGCCCCCTACCCAAAAGCCTTCTCCCCCTTCATGCTTCCTAAAAATGAACCAAGTGAATGAACATGAACCGAGGTCAAGGACTAGCTCCTATAACTGAGACCCAAAGCAAGCCCCACCTTGCAGACTGCCCCTGCTACTGAGGGTCCTGGAGGACCCGGGCAGCTTGGCCTCCAGAGGTCAGCATCCATTCCTCCTGTGCAGGCTCAGTGCAGCCAAGTGTGGCAGCAGAGCAAACGTCCAACACAACTGAGGCTGGCCCCCCGGAGAGGAGGCAGTAGGAAGGAGCACCAGGTGGGAAAGGCCTGAGCCACTTTCATCTGGGAGTCCCAGTTTCCCCACCTTTGTGAGGAGGCTCACAAAACCAAAGTGCCTCCAGCTCAACAGTGCTTGGAAAACTGCTGGGGAAATATGGGCGGAGAAAGCACTGCACATTAGATGGTGGGGTGGTGTGCTGTGGAGTTGGTTCAGTTGTATATTTGACCTCAGGATGTCCCTTCATGTGGCTGCTGTCCAGCTGAGGTCCTAGTTCCTGATGGCCACAAATGCAACCTGCTCTGCCTTCTCTGAACCCCTGCGCAGTAGAGGTCATACTTGACCTTCTTTTCTACACCCCATGGAACTTGACATATGGTTGTGCAGACAGTAAATAGAGATAAATTAACCCCTGCAGTATATAGCCTGTGAACCAGCAAGTCTGATTTAATTAACTGCTAGGCTGAACCATGATTCTCCTGTAGAGTTTGTAATGAAAAAAAAAAAACCCTTTGAGAATGAAGAAAAGAACTGTACCATCAGCCAACTGGGGCCTCCCTCCAGCTAGTCTCCTTCTCTTCCTCTCCCATACTGCCCCTGGGCCAACAGTGCTGGGCCTGCCATCTCCTGTCTGCAGTCCATCCTGACCTGGCCCAGCGTCCCCGTCCCTGACAAGTAGGGACAAGGCTGACCTCCTCTTGGCAACCCCAGTGCTTGTCTATAGCTTCCATATCTTCCCAAAACCAACTTGATGTCTAGGTGTCAGTCTCTTCCTTCCTTGATCCACTTTGTCATTTAAACACAAGTATGTGTGTTTCACAAATAATCTTTGTTATTTGTATGAAAGACAGCCAACATCAAATAAGCAAAAAAAAAAACAAAACAAAACATTAAAATACCTACACTTGTATCATGTAGCAATAATGATTCTATTTTGTTATTAGTTTCCTGATTTTATATGTGCATATGTTATAAGGAGGCTTCAAAAAGTTCATGGAAAATATCCCTTTTCATTCCATTTTTCCATGAAAGTTTTGAAGCCTCCTTATATGCACACATAGGCAGTTTTTATGTGTGTTTAAAGAATTGATGATGCCATTTTATGTATGTATATATATATATATTTTTTTTTTCTTTTAAATGTTTATATGTATAACTCTTGTAATCTGCTCCTTGTCACACAGCAGTTTATAATAAAGATTTTACACATCCATTTCTACTCTGGGCATCTTTATGTCCGGAGCCTTTTGATGGTTCTTAAGAGAGATGTAACTGTACATTTACATATTCATTTGCCTTAGCTCCTCTATACAATCTTTGAGACTTGTTTTGCCACCTTGGGATCCCCATCCAACTCCTACCCACCCCAAGTCAGCACCCAGTGAGTGAAGAAACAAGATTGTAAGTGGCCAAGTGGAGCTCCTGAATCGAGAGACAGAGCAGAGACTCGGGCTCCCTGAAGGTATCTCCTTGGGAAGGGACCCCCGTGGTCTCTAAACCAGCCCCTCAATCCCCAAAGCATGATGCATAAAGTAGAACAAGCCAATGCTGGGACCCAGGCAGCCCATACTGCGGGACGACTCACAGGATTCCAGTCAACTAACGTCGTGAATTTTTATCTGAAGAGGATTTTTGCCAAGGTCAAGGAAGCCGTGGGGTATTTACCTCGTTGACTATGTAATCCAACAACTCAAAAATTGCCATGGGTGGTCGGCTGTCCATTCCATAAGCTACAGATGTTGTTTAAAAAAAGAAAGAACAGAGATCAAATGAGGGTATGATTTTTTTAATGTAAAGCTGACGGTCTTAAACCTTCACTTAATTCACAATAAAAACTTTAAAAAAAAGTCAAAAACACACAATATGAAGATAGATGTTGGTATGAATCCCGGGAGCGAGAACAAAGTCATGGATGAATGGATGATACAACAGCCAAAGCTAAGGCCTAAACACAGAAGGCACCAGCAGCAGCAAAGGCCACAGGTGGTACCAGTGTGGACACTCTACCACACTCCAGCCTTGTGACCTTGGGCAAATCAGTTAACCTGAGCTTCAGTTTTGAGTTTTGTAAAGTAGAGCTGAATAATAAAACAATATCTATCCTTCCTCCCTTACCTATAATGCTGAGAGGAGAGGAAATGAAATAAAAAGTGAAAGGACTTCATTTTTCACTTGTCCCCAAACCTGGGTTTCTTCCTTCCATACCCGTCTTACTTATCTAGTATGGTTTTATCAGAAATAACACAAGTGAGCAGCTTTAACAGTTAAACAGAGGTTTATTTTCCCACATTTTAGGAGGCTCAAAGCTCAAATTCAGGGCACCCGCCGCAGGGGAAGACTTTCTCTCTGTGTCTGTCTGTGTCAGCACTAAGGGCAAGTACTTGTCTCGGCTAAGCATCTACTTCTGGGTGATCTTCATGTGGCTCCATCTCTCTCTTCCCCCTCTTCTCCCAAGATTACTCATCTCTTTAATACCCCCCAAATACACCCTATACTAACCCTATTTCATGAATATAGCAAATAACATTTCCAAATGGGGAGACACAATTCAATCCGTGACACCAAAGTTACAGGCCAGTGTCAGAGGCCAGAGCCACCGGCCCTTCCAGCAACCTAACAACACACTCCCCAGCCCCCTTTGCTTCTCCCTTCATACACACTTTCTTCCCTGTGAGTCAGATCTCCCTGCTCAGATACGAACATTCATGCAGAAACTTCACAATATTCATGTTCAGAGAGGCTAAGTGTTTGGGAGTCAAACTCAGCCACTTGTAAGCTTATGCAACCTCGGCAAGCTCACTGCTCTGTGCCTCAGTTTCCTCATCTGAGGCATACAAATTCTAACAGTGCTCCCACACAGGACTGCTATCAGAGAGAGAGACAGAAGTAGATCAGTGGTTGCCAGGAGATGGGGTGCGCGAGGGTAAATTGCTGCTAATGATTATGATGGAAATGTTCTAGAATCAGATAGCGCTGATAGTTGCACACTATCACTATACTCAAACCAATGGATTTTATACTTTAAAGTGGGGACTTTTATAACATTTAAAAAGCGACCAAAAAACCAAAATGCCATGAATTAAAAACCAGAAATTGATACTGCAGAGAGAGAGCAAAAGCACAGTGCCTGGAACACAGTAGGCACTCTGCAAACAGTAGGAAGTTGGTCATCATAATGACAGTTTCCTGCACTTGTCTGAAAACAGCTACTCTGCTCGGACCCCCGTCCCCCCCATCCTAGAACCCCCTGACAGAAAAGGACCCTGCAGCCCCAGCTAGGGTCACACCAGGGCACTCACAGCTGAGGGGCCTCCCAGGAGTCCTCGGCCGGGGCGGGGTCTCAGCTGCATCTCCCTCTACATGGCACCCAAACATCAGCTCCAGCTCCTTGGCATCTGGAGGAGGGATGGGGTACCTCCCAACCGCCATCTCCACCAGAGACAGTCCCATGCTCCAGATGTCCGACTGCACAGAATAGTGAGTCCCCTGAAGTCTTTCTGGCTGCAGGAGAGACGGACACACAGTTATAGCCACCTGTGAGCTAATTCTGCCCAAGAAGAGGGTGAGCTGGTCGAATCCCCAGGGATGCTCAGAGGTTTCCTGAGGCCTGGATTCCTGCCACTCTGAGCTATTTACTCTGCAGAACACTCGGTACTGGGCCCGATCTGCCGATTTATTTTATCTTCTTCTGTCTCTTCCTCTCGAGAGCTGACATTCTGGTTCAGAACCTCTTGAATGTGGTCTCCCATCTACCCTCAAATGCTGTGTTTACCTACTCATAGGTGACCCCAAGGCTCTGACCCCCTCCTCCAGCCCTCTACACCTCTCCTGAGCCTAGTCATCCACCTTGGATGACTGTCACCCTAGCCATGGGTCCAGCTCTGCCCAGTCTGGACATGTGTGACAGCCTGCCCTTGTTACACCTGAGTCTGAAACATGAAGTCTCTGGAACATGGGTCACAGGGACACTGGCCTGAGAGTCAGAAAAGCTGAGTTCTAAGACCCCCTCTGCCACTGGCACACTGTCTGTGCTCGGACAGCACGGAATGGAAGAAAAATCCAAGGATTTGTGGTCACAAGATCTGCTTCAAGTCTAATTCTGAGACTCTCGGGCTATAATGATCCTGGGCTTTGGTTTCACCACCTACAAAAAGTGACCGATGACAATGGTAATAACAGTAATAGTACTCCCCTAGCGGTGTAAGAGTTAAGCACTTAGTGGTTAGCCCAAAAGTTGGTGGTTCAAACCCACCCAGTTGCTCCACCTGGTGAACTGCTCCTGTACAGATCACAGCCTGGAAAACCTCTGGGTCAATTCACGTGGGGTCACTATGAGTTTCAACCAACTCGACAGAACCCAACAACAATAATTCAATGCACAGGGTTACTGAGGAGGTCAAATCAAAGAATATTTATATTAGATGTCGTAAAACGCTGTAAAATAGGAGTTGTTATTGGTAAGGAAAGTATAAAAAAATATATAGTTCTGTACAAAAGCATTTTTATTGAGTACTAATTTACATAGCACATGTATTTCAAGAGCCCTAGATAAAAATAATTACTCTGACTGTTGTCATTTATTCAGATATCAAATGGACTTCTCCCATAGGATTTTTCACAAACTTCAACACTAGGCCATTTTAGAACTGACCACATAACCATAAAAACCAAGTCAGTAAACCCGGGATCAGTAAGTCCCAGCATTGATTTTGAACTTGAGAGTTGGCAGTCGAGTGCCTCAGGGTGACAGCTGCTTGGAGATTAGCCATGTTCTGCAGGACCTGTGGGTTTCCGTGTTTCTAAAGATTGTACAATTGATGCATTTGGGTTATGGCGTTGGAGGGGAATATCAAAAGTAACGTGGACCGCCAAAAAAAAAAACAAATCTATGTTGGAAGAAGTATAGCCAGATGCTCCTTAGAAGCCAGGACGGCCAGACTTCGTCTTTCATACTTCAGATATATTATCAGGAGGAAACAGTCCCTGGGGAAGGGCATCATGCTTGGTACAGGGAGAATCACCTCCCCAACAAGATGGACTGATACGGTGGCAGCAACAATTGTGAGGCTGGCGCAGGAAGGGACAGTACTTCGTTCTGTTGTGCACAGGGTTATTATGAGTCGGTCCCAACTGCACAGCACCTAACAACAACAACAAAGACTATGGGATCACTATTGTGGAGAGGGTAGGGAGGTGGGAGAGTGATGGAGTCCAGGTGGGAGTGGGGGACCAGCAGGAAGGAATGAAAGCATGGGTATGACCTCCCTCACAGAGAGACTGGGAGTCAGATGCCAAACTCCTACCAAGAGACAAGTGAGGTGGGCTGTGGAAGACAAGGAGAAGACCCAGTTTTCCATCCTGGCTCTGCAACTGCCCAGAGTCTAGAGTTCCTCATCACTAATCTGGAGTCCTGGTGTGGCGCTGTGGCTTAATGCGCTGGACTGCAAAGTCAGTTTGAACAGCAAGGTCGGCAGTTCAAGCTCACCAGCTGCTCCTTGGAAACCCTCTACAGGGCCGCTATGGGTTGGAACGAACTTGATGGCACTTGAGAACAAAAGCATAGACTCCCGGTATGGCACTGTAGGATCACCCCTGGACTGTGAACCGTAAGGTTGGCAGTTCACACCCACTAGCTGCTCCTCAGAAACCCTATACAGGGTCGCTAGGAGTCAGAACTGACTCGACGGCACTTAACAACAACAACATTGGAACAAGAAAACCTAGTGGCATTGTGGATTAGGTGCAGGCTGTTAACCACAAGGTCAGTGGTTCAAATCTACCAGCCGGGAGAAAGATATAAACGTATAGTCTTGGAAACCCTGTATAGAGTTATTAGGAGTTGAAATCAACTGGATGGCAGTGGATAAAATGGGAACAATCTGTCTTTTCTTCATGGGATAATTACATGAATCAAGTAAGATCATCCAGTAATATGAAAGAGCTTTGAAAGAGAGTGCATAAACACGCTTCATGTGCGACTGGACCCCGACCCTCTGGGCTGTCCTCCACTTCCATAAAGACTTCCTACTCACTCTCATGTGCCTCTCTTCTGCACCCATTCAGCACTTATGTCTTCACCGATACAAATCATTTTCATTCACCCTCCAAGCATGCACCCACTGGCCACACTTCTCCTGAGCACCAGGCCCTAAGGACCACAGAGATGCCTGTGCCCTTGTCCCTGCTCCTAGAAGCTCTCTGCATGGCAGGATGTGTATGGGGACATACGCTGATGCAGTCATGGGCATGGGGAAGCCACCCAGTGTTCTATGAGGGGTGCCAAATGAACTAAGACAAGGACTCCAGCCAAGAGACCAAGTGTGCTGGAGTGAGAGGCACAGGGAGCTGAGCAGGAGACATACAAGGAGGAGGGGGGAGAAGAGGCAGGACTAGGAAACAATTGTCAACAGACTCATAGGAGCTGAGCACCACTGGATGCTGAAGGCTGAGGAGCTGGGAAGGGAGTTTAAGGCTGATTCTCAGTTTCTACTTTGAGATGTCAGGGAAAGTGGTGCCATGTATAGTTAGGAGAGGAGAAGGAGGCACTGTTGGGATGGGTTCGTGTGTGACTCTGTTTGGTTTGAGTCTGAAGACAATCAGGTAGAGACGTCCAGAGAGAGTCAGAACTCAGCATCTCTTCAGAATGGAAGCCAAGATTTCAGAAACATCTGGGGACTAGGTGGTAGCTGGAGCTCTGGTTACTCACTGTGTTCTAGTGAGCCAAGGCCTCAGGACACCAACTATGCTCAAGGCTAAGGCCAAGACTTATCTTCCCATTAGACTTCAATCTCCATGGCGTCTCCACATCCCTCGTTCCTCTACTTTCTTCTCCCGCCACCCAACATAAGGCCCTGGATCTACAGGGGAGGGGAAGGCACCATTTGGTTCCATCCCTGACAGATGAGAAGCTTGCGAAAAGGAGCCCATTGCTCATACCGACATGTAGGACCTCGTGCCCACGAAGGAGTTGGCCATGGAGTCAATGAGCTGTCCACTGACCCCAAAGTCACAGAGCTTGATCTCCCCACGTGAGTTCACCAGGATATTGGAGGGCTTGACATCTGCAGGGACAAGAAAATGGAAAATCAGGGAGTTACCACAGATAGGCAGGGGAGGGGAAGGGTTAGACCAACCCTAACCATGGGTCCAGGACAATCCCCCATCTCAGAACCTGATCTCTTCTGACACACACACTGGACGCCAAGGTCTCTCATTCCTCCTCATTCTGAGTTCAAGGAAGCACTGTCAGGAGATCAGTTAGTGTAAAAAACAAAACAAAACAGATTTCTACAGCTAGCCCATGGGAGGGATCATGAATAGACAAGATTTCAAAGTCTGTTGCTTCAGACACCTCTTTGCTAGGACACCCTATTAGTAGTGGGATCAAAGGATGAAGACAAAAAAAAAATAAAAGGAAACACTACACACACACACGCCTGTAAGCTTGCTGAGGCTATCGACTACAGACTCGAAGTGGATGGAGTCGGGTGGGAATTCTTGTTCTTGACCCATGTGCCAAGCACGGAGCACATTCTGAACATGTGTGGCAGGGGTAGCAACTCATCTAGATGCTCTTTCATTGGAGTCACTTCCCTACCAGCCTGCACATCTGCTGGTGAAAGTTGCCTCTCAGGATCAGGATCACACTCCCAGCACCAGACCCTGATAACAGGTCTCCTACCACCAACTTCTGCTGTTACGAGTGACCCTTCTCCTTTGCAGAGACTGGTCAGCAATTCCAAATGTCTTCCTTCCTGCTGTCTCCTCTGATTCATACACCTGCCTATGAAATGGGCAGACAAGGGCCACTTATGCTCATTTACAGATGGGCAAACTTGGTGCAGGTCCCCAAGCCAGGGCTTTGTGGGTAGACATCGGCAAACAATGAGGGGGGTCTCACTCAAGAGCAGGTGACTTCTGGGGACAAAATCACAAATGCTGACAGGGAATCTTTAATAAAAGTGATTAACAAAACAACACAGAACATTTGTTCTTTCAGATGGATGAATTTATTCTTACAGACATTCTAACAGGTCTATGAAAGTATCCATGCAAGGGCAAATTGGGCGGGCAGGGAGCATCATCCTCCAATATCTCAGTACGTCCTTCACCTGCATCCCTTCACCGGGGCCCAGCACCTCCTGCACACACAGCCATCAGCTCAGCCTTTCTAAGACTTCAGTCTCAGTGTGTCATTCCTTCCACCAAATGGCTCCAGTAAGGAGCACAAGATACAAGACCCAGTTGGCTTTTCCAATACTCCTGTTGTAGTTAGCTCCCAACTCATGATGACTTCATGTGTTAACAGAAGAACTTCTATAATCCTTACAGAAGCTGTTTGCCAATGGTGTACAGGAGGTCTGATTGCACACCTTGAGGAACATAATCAGTGTCACTGAAACGTATGTGTAAAAATTATGAAACTGGTCAATACTTTTGTATATAAGAGGGGGCTTCAGGAAGTTCATGAAAAATGGAATTAAAAGATAATGGAATTTTTCAACAAACATTTTGGAGTTCCCTCATGTATATTTTACCATGCATTATAGTGTAGTGGTTACGAACCAGGCTGCAAACCTTAAGGTCAGCAGTTCGAAGCTACCAGCTTTTCCACGGGAGAAAGATGAGGCTTTCTGCTCCTGTAAAGATTTACCATCTTAGAAACCCTGTGCAGGGTAACTATGAGTCAGAACTGACTCCACACAAATAACAACAACAACAACTGACCCTCAAGGTGTGCAACAAGCTCTCCAGTTACCACTGCTGCTGAGTGGGCTCCAACTCAGAGAGACCTCATTGTGTCACAGAGGAAAAGTACATTCCATAAGGTCTTCAATGACTCACTTTTTAAAAATTAGATCTCCAGGTCTTTCTTCTGAGACACCACTGGATGAACTAGACCCTCCAAACTTTCCATTAGCATCCAAATGCAATCACCATTTTCATCATGAAATTCTCACCACTATCCTTATTCCATGAACAGAAACTCACTGGTCACTTAACAATAACTCCCCTTTCCCTTCTCCTGTCTACCCTGGTAACTAATTAACTGCGGTCTCCATATATTTGCCTATTTTACATAAATGAGATCATTCAATAGTGATCCTTTTGTAGCCGACTTCTATTTCGCTCAGTATAATCAATGTTCATTCACGTAGTACACACCAGGGCTTCATTTCTCTTTATGGCTGAGCATAGACCATTTTAAAGTGCACTGAGTGGAACTGGCTAAAGAAGACAAGAGTCCTGGTCCTGCCACCTGCTCTAACACAGCCTTGAGCAAGTCACTTCACTGGTCTGGTTTGCTTGGTCTGCCCATCATCAGTAAGGTGAAGATTACAATCACAACTCTCGCAACCTCCCAAGATGGCGGTCAGAGACGATCTGATAGGGTGGTTATTTAAACAGCGCACTGTGTTACAGGGTCACAGGGAATGATTGTTACACAGGTTGGCCTCAAAGATGAGCAGTTCATAGAACTGGACACCCCTCACTTCCCAACGGAGAGCAAGCAACATCCTCCCCCGGCCCCGGGAAACTCCTCTTCTCTGGCTCAGACCCACCCTTGTCTCCAAGCTGCAGCTGCTGCTGTGACTATCCCTTTATCTCATTTCTATTCACATGGCAAGCAGGCTCCCGTTTTTTTCATGCTTATGTAACATCTCTGGCTGTCAGCTCTGGCTCCCCCACAGCCCCAGGGATCAACACTGCAGAGCTCAGTGGGGTATGAGAGAAAGGAAGGAAAGCTGCCCGACCACAGGTATCCTGGGAGCCAGAAACACTGGACTCTGCCCATTCTAATGACCCTGGGGAGCCAAACAAGAAATCACTGGGAAATGTGGGCCCACTATACCCAAAGCATGGCAGTACAGACATCAGACTGGGTATGTTTCTCCAGAGCTACCCCCACCAATTCCAGCTCTTCTCTGGGGCAGAAAAGAGGTATACAAGATGTTGCATAAGGCCAATATGATTTTCTCCTGATAGCTGGACAGTCAGCATCCTATCTATACTTTCTTCCCACAATAGCACTCCTTCTGGCCCTTGTTGTTCTGACCCCAAGTGTTATGCATTGAATTATGTTCCCCCCTTCTGTGTGTGTGTTTTGGAATCCTGATCTCTCAACTTGCAGACACAATCTCATTTGCATATCATTTCTTTGTTATGTTAATGAGACCACCATATCAATGTAACCTACCCCAAATCCATTACTATCCAGTCACTTCTGACTCATAGGGACCCTGTATAGGGTTTCTGAGGCTGTAAATCTTTACGGGAGCAGAAAAGTCTCATCTTTCTCCTGAGGAATGGCTGGTGGGTTTGAACTGCTGATCTTGTGGCTAGTAGTTCAGTGCTTACCCTACAGTGCCACCAGGACGTGTCCTAAACCTAACCACTGTTGATGTTAAAAAAGAGCAGATTAGGAAGAACAAGGTAGATGGGAAACACTGAGACAGGTTTGCATGAGCTAAGTGGAACACAGGTAAATAGTGATGCATGCTCAACTTTGGAACAACAGGGCTCTGGGATACAGGGATCTAGGCATAGTCTGAAGAGGGGAAATAATACTAAGATGCTTGACTGTCTTATGAATATTGGTTTCCCTTGCCTACTATTGTAAAATAGACACTTGAGAGGGATAGAAAGGAATGTGAGGAAACAAGATTACAGAAAGTTTGCAAGCCTGTCTTCAGCCTATAACTGATTGGAATACCTAAAAGGGGTTCTAGAACTTGCCCAGTGGGACAGGCCTCTTGCTGAGCCTTTGCAGTGTATTGGACCTTAAGTGGAATCCTGAATTCCATCCAGAACCTTCTGAGATGGGACATTCCCACTAGAAAGGTCAAGCAGACCAGCCTGGAACAGCCAAAGAGACAAAAGATACATCTTCAAAGAAAGATCATCACGAAAAACTCAAAACAAAAATCGTTCTTTCAGGACAACCCCCACCCCCCTCCAAGGCTGAAACTCAAAGGGAACACATGAGCTGGCATGTAAGCTTCCTGACGACCACACTGGTCTACTGGTGAGTGGAAGAGGGGGAAAGGCAGTAATGAAGAAATGGGCTGAGTTCAACCATGGTCCATAGACTCCAGTTGACCTGGAGATGACAGAGAGAAGAGGTAGGGCTGGTTGGTCCAAAGTGTGGTGAGACCTGGGGACACCTGAGCCCATGGACAAGGACATAGCCACAGAGGGCTAGAGCTGAGAGTGAAGCATCCAGCAGATATGAAGTGATGGGAGATGCACAAGAACACCCAAACTTGCAGATAGTACCCATTTGACCTAGCCTTGATGGCTTGATCATCAGAACTCAACTAGAGGAAGATTAAAAAATATATATTTTCAATACAAGAAACAAGGGTAAATTGCTACAGTTTGATGAACTTGACCTATACTCATAGAGGTAGTAACCTCTAAATACCAATAGAGAGGAAAGGAATCTTCACATCAAGTATCCATGCTATCCCCTCTGTACACAGGGTAGATAGGGATGGGCAACTTAAGACAATGGCCACCTAAAATAAGGGGGTGATAAAGCCACGAAGTGACTGGCTTACCAGGTTTCAAGGGGGAGTTTAGTTTAATAGCGTGTGGGGGAAGAAAGAGTTCCCACTGAATAGTTTTCATCTTGTCTAGATGGATCTGGTTAAAAGAAACAGGAATGAGATTCTTATGATTCAATAGTGAGTAACTGTTATCATGACTAATTGTGACTGTCACAACTGTAAAGGTAGACATTTTGTATCAAAAAAAGGGGAGTAGTTAATCTTACTGTCCAGAAACGGAGGACCCTAGGACCATCAAGGGAGAAGAGCACAAGCGGAATGTGAGACCTTATCCAGAGAAGCAGCAAAACCAGAGATGGAGGCAGAGACAGGGACATGGAGAGGAGCAGCAGCTGAAGACTCTAGACTCATGGGAAGAGAAGGACTGAGAGCTGGTGGCCAGGGGGCAGACTTGCAGAATGTGCCCTTTGGTGGTATAAATTATTATATATGCCTGAGTGTTCAAAAAAAAAAGCTAAAGTGAATAGAGAGAAATACTGTTATCTGATGGT